TCCTTCCTTCCCCAAGGTGCAGAATTTAACCCTACACGTAAAAAAATTAACTTTAAAAAAAATCATATGCCAATCCCTGAATTAAATCCAAGTTTATTTTTTTTCCATTGTTCTTTAGACATTACTCACTCTTTCCACAGTTTTTTTTCCAATTTTTTACGTGTAGGGTTAAATTGACCAAGTAAAGGTCATGTCTTTGGATCAATGATACCTGCTATGTGCCAGTATTAATGGTCTTACCAAAAAAAAAAACCAATACTGTGCCGATGGCTTGTGTAGAGACCCCATAGTAATATAGTAAAAAAAGCATAGTAAAAAAATCTACCTTGAAGCAGAATTTCTCCGGCATGAATACTGTCGCAGCTTTCTGCAGCAAATCTTTCAAATAATTTGTCGTTGACGACATGCACTAAAAAAAGGCAATCATTTTGCTCAACAAAATTTGAAATTTTGAAGAGTTTCACGATTTTTTACCACTCAGAGTTCGGAAATTATCAAGCCTGGGGGCACAGGACTAATGGGACTTTATGGGGTTCAAACTTCTAACAATAATAAATCCTGTGGAACACAGCCAAAAGTGCCTTATCCAGTATTTTCGAAGAAATCAAAGAATTACACCAAATTTACCAGTTACGCCCTGGATAACTCTGTTGAAGACAATGCTTATTTTATGGCAACCATAAAGGTAAACTCTCAATCGGTAGGGTATTTCACCAGTGTACTAGAAGTAGCAACGTACAAGACGGGGGAGACAGCTAACGGCTTGGTAAAATTCCCCTTGTTGGGGGAGCTGCTGAGTTGGTAATCCATCCAGGGGAAAAAAGAATGTCAGAATCGCTAAAAGATTAGCCATCCGTTAAAGTAGCTTTGGTGAAAGCATATGAAAAAAATTTCCAAATGAAAAAACTTGTAGTTATAAATCGCATTTGATCAAGGTATCAAATTTTGAAAAGAATTTACACTGTAAAGTGTTATTAAAAAGTCAGAAAAAAGTTGAGAATCCCCGTTTAATCAGGTCGACTTCCGTGACCCGGTGCTGCGTAGGTTGCATTCAAAGAACAACTGCGATGACCCTGAGTAAACGAGATTTCTTTCTGATGAACAGCATTGTGAATAGTTCATTGTTGCATACGTGGCACCCGTAAAAGTGGACGCTAAAACATTGCTTGTGACAAAGCTTCGCGCCTGAAAACGTGGTTACTTACGTCAGTGTAGCCAATTCCATCCCAGAATATATTTGGTCGGAATAGGTGGCATACTTTGGCGCAAAATCCAGACAAATATCGTGTCGTTAACATGTCCATAAATGATTGAATTCTGCTCTCATTCAATAAAAATTGATTCTAAAAATATAAACAAAAAATTCAAAGTATTTCCGAAGTGCTGTAGCACAGTGAGGCATACAAATGTCTAATACACTGAACAGCTCCTCTCTTTTTATCGTGATTCCTTCTTAATAATTATGCAGGGTAGCAAATTTTTGAATTTTTTGATCTCGATGCAACCAATAACTTCAAAAAGACACATAAGTATATCATCAAATCGAATTGATAAATCCCTTGAGGGGGCAAAAAAGAAAAACAGAATCACCAAACGATTGCCCATCACGACAACAACACTGGTCAAAGCAACTGGAAAAGTCGTCGCTGCACGGGTGGAGAAAAAAAGACATGCAGAGCTAGTCCTTAGACTAACAAAATAAGTATAAATTCAAAATTTTCAACAAGCCTCTATGTATGTAGTAGCTGCCATGCATAGGCTGCATCGTGCACATTCTCCAGCTGGCGTTATCATTACTGCTGTAATAGAACACAGATTTTAATTGATTTACAACAAGATTCCATTCAAACGAAATCCAAAATTATGCGAAAAAGATTCTGAGATATTAAATGATTAGCAGTACTATTTCTTATACACCTTTATCTCAAAAAAATTTAGCTTACAATTCGGAACAAATCGTTGAATATTTTTTATTATAAATCGCTTATTTGTTTTAAAATAATGAACTCTTAGTGTAAAGTTAGTCAACTAATTTTTCCTATCTTTAAAGTGGATTAGAGGAACGCTGCTGTACAGGGTCCAACTTCAACTGCAGTCATTGTGCGATCATACAGACACCTTTAGAAAGGTGGCACACACACGTCGAAAAAGCGATGGATAACTAAGTGAAGGTATGCAGTTCACGGTCAAAAAGCTTGGCATACGCTCGACGTTTTTTTTTTTTTTGGAAGCATCCTAGTAACATTTTTGACACAGAATCCCCACACTAAGTGCCCAACCGATTTTTAGTATCCCTGGCATACAAGAAACGAGTGTATTTTACTGGAAAAACTGGAAAAATTTAATTTACTGGAAAAATTTTTTCCTAAATATATTATTGATTATTATTGATTTTAGAAAAACAAAATATTCCAATAAATTAAAATTAATAATTAACTGAATAAATGCTCGAAATGCAAGCAATGCTAAGTTCATTTTGACTTTTGGAAGCCTGTGAGCTGCTATCTCTGACACGATCAACGCTTAAGAAGAGGAAGAACAGCGCCGACACCATTCTTATCTATCCTTGTTTATCACAGAAAAAAGATCCGAAGTGCTCGATAAAAACAATCTAACATATCTCAAGACGCCATTCTTAGGGAAAATTAAATCAATCAAGCGTTTACAGTTTGTTGTATAATTATGATAACAGGCTGGTAGCAGTGCTGAACAAATTGCTTCTGCGCTTGGTAAATTCGCACGAATGTATTGGCGAAGTACTTGTTCGGCATGCTGAAAAAAACCGGAATTTTCATCTATAGCATTTTCTAAATACACTAAATAACGTGTTTATTTCAATGACAGATTAATATTGCTACATGCCATGGAGTCAAAACAATCATCAGCTCGCTTCTAAGCAACTCTTCGAGAAGGAAGCCAGTCGAAAGCTTTGTCAACAGACGGTTAATTTTATGCGTGCTACCATTAGGCAATGGCGGATCCTGGAGGAGCGGAGAGAGATGATGGGTCTTTCGGCTCCCCTCCCCAGCGGAACAAGCAGCAGTGCTAAAAGTGAAGAAAAATCCCTTGGACATTTCTCGTCGCCTTCCCCTCCCCAATCCCCGTCGCTACGTCCAACAGCAATAAGTGGGGAGAGGGGGGGAGGGGGGGGGGGGGGGGGG